GGGGGTAGGAATTGCGGACGTGGGTCATAGTGATCGGTAGGGGGTTTATTTTCGACGTGCAGGGCGGGTGGTGCTTGGTTTTTCTTTTAGCTCCATTGAGAGTGACGTGATACGCGTCGCCAGGGACGTAGAAGGGTCATTTCGCGCGTCGGGGAAGAGCGAAATGACACGCCACTTATAGCCTGGGCGGTCGCGCGTGCCACCCTTGGCGAGGCAGTTTCCCGTGAAGTGGGACGCTGCGTCGCGGGCGGTCCACCGCGATCAGATCACTTCAAATCTGCGCACTCGAAGCCGCACGACCATCTCTACATCTGCGCGCACTTGTGCTGAAGCCCGCCGCGCGCACTGTTCACGCCAGGCCGTGGGAGTCGCCGTCCTTCTGCCGTGCAACCGGACGTCGCCCGTCAGTTTTCTGGCCGCGGAGTGCCGTCGTCGACGATCTTCTCTCTCCTTGTCATCTCCAACCTATTCCCCGTCGAGCGCTCTCGCCGCTGCGTCGCCCTTCTATCTGCCACACGCAAGTCGACCTCTTCTTCCTTCGGTTGGCAAATCTTCTGCGTCGTGCGGCTTTCCTTCTTCGTCACGGCAGTCCGCCGCGGGAGTCATTGTCGTCGTTAGATTTGCCAACTGGCAGGATTTTAACGGCGGGCGAGTGGACACGTGGCGGTCTTCACATCGGGTCGCATGGCTTGCCTACAGGGGTCGCAAAGGAACATGTCAACGCGAGAGGCAGGCCGTGGGAAAAAGCGCGAAGGACTGCCTGACGACAACCAAGTGACTGGAAAAGGGTTCGGGAGAAAGGAGAGCAAGGACAATCTGATCGCAGCGCTTCGAAAAGGCTGATGACCCCTCCACCCGAGACGAAGCAAGTGGGCGCCCGCGACAGGCGGACTGACGACACTCATGTCGACGATCTTGGTGAGGACGATGACGATCCCTTGGAAAGACGCCTCCTGCGCAGTCACACAGCAGCCACCCCGCCGCCGGCGGCTTCGGGCCACGCTCTCGCTGGAGAAAAGGCAGTGACAGGTAGGCTGCCCGCCACCACGGCTGCGCCACGTCCTCGCAACACGGCTGCTGAAGGAGGGTCCGTCCAACGAGGCGGCGGTGGGGTAGTCGCGGCGCACGCGGGCGCAGTTGGGGTTGAGGCGGCAGGTGCGGCGGGCGCGGTTGCGGGTGTTTCAGGTAGTGCGCCCCCAGTTCCGGCAGCGAGAGAGGAGGGAGCAGTTGTGGCGATGGCGAGGGACGACGCGCGTGGAGAGAAGAGGAGTGATCGGGAGGGCGGCGAAGCTGGTTCGAGCAGGCCGCGCAGGGGAGTGTTGACAAATGACCTCATAGACCGTGCCATCCTTTGGGTCGACGACAAACCTTTCTGGACGACGGGGGAGGGGCGAAGACTCTACAACATCGTACACGAGACAAGAGAGTACTTCGTCGCCATCCCCAGCGGACTTCGTCCGCCTGCGATCCCTCAGAGCGTTGTGATGCCCAAATCCAGCACGCGGATAGCCAGGATCGCCGACCCGTCGCAGCTGCAACAAGCGACCTCCCGTGCGTCGGCAGTAGAGAACATCGCTCTCCGCGTATTGCACGGCTGGGTTTCAAGTCTGGGAACCGCCGGAGGGGTTACAATCTTGCATTCCAGTACGCCCTGGAGTCCGTGGCAACGGACATAGCGCGAGCTATGTGGTACGGTGAGGAGTGGTGCAACGTCGTCAGCCCGGCGGTTTGCGCACACACGACAGATCTCTCCTTGGACTTGCCGCTGTGGTTCGCGGACGTGAAAGTCGAGAACAGACCGAACGATGATGACATGGCGGCATACCAGGAGTCCACCATCATCTGCGTCACGCATGCGTTCTGGACGGCAGTGCAAATGAGGGCGGTCATCGACGGCGAGTTCATCTCGCACGATCGTCTTTGGCGGGTGGCTGACTGCTTTAGACTGTTGTTGGCGGCGTGCATTTGGATAATGCGCATGTCGGGAGACGATCCGCGCAGCCACTTCAAAGCTTTCCACTTTGCGACGCTGGTGTCGAAGCCCACACTCGTGGCGTCAATGCATCGGTAGTTCGACCATCGTCGATCCATTCGCCTCGCCGTGAAAGCCGTCACGGAAAGGCTCGGGAAGGCAAACGCCACGTTTGGAGAGCACCCCGACTACCTTCCTCATTGGGCAGACCGTGGAATTGTGTTCGGACACGACGCAAGGATTGACGGGCCGGAGGAAGCTAAGAAGCTCGATTGGTTAGGTTCGGGTCCCGCCGATGATGACAACGACAACGACGACAAGGGTGACGCGTAGAGGGGGGCGAGGTGGGCGGTACGCATGGGCGGGTGAGTGGGCAGGTATCCGGGGGGGGGCTTGCTGTTGTGTGAACGCGGGCGAGTGGACACGTGGCAGGTCATGCAGTTGGCTCTTTGTATGCGACCGACTTTATAGCGCTTTCGTTACCGCGGAGGGGGGGGGGGGGGGTCTTAGCGCGTCGGCAGTGCGGCGAAACCCAGTTGATTGGTTGATTTCGTTTGTGCATCGTTTAGTGCAGATGTGTAGTGTGCAGGTCGTCGTAGTCAACGACGGGTACGTTAAAGACACTCGTGTGTTTTGTGTTTATCATCCCAGTTGGGTCGACGAGCAAATCGCAAGCGCTTTCAGCGCACCTTTTCTTTTCTCTTCTTTGTTTGTCTGCTCAATGTGTTTTGTGTTTATCATCGCAGTTCGATCGACATGCAATTCGAAAGCGCTTTCAGCGCACCTTTTCTTTAGTCTTCTTTGTTTGTCTGCCCTCCACCTTCGCACCGTTGTTATCCTCTCAGCGATGGATGATCAAAAGATGTTTGCCTCACATGCATGCACACAACCGAAGACGACATCCCTGAAATGCGCTTTGTATTCGTTGTATGAGTTAGACCAACTATCATGAATGTTTTGGACAGCATTTTGTGAAGCTCACAAAAAAGATCGTGACAGACGAACCGACGAAAATGATCGTTGTATGAGGTCGACCAACAGCACACGAAAAAGACCGTGATAGACGAACAGACGACGTAAAAATTGGGACAAACAAAAAAAATTGTAAAAACATTGCAAGAAAAAGAAAGAAAAACAAAGAATCGTCTTGAAACGAAGAAGATTTCATGAAACACATAAGACTGAGGAGCCAAACAAAAGAACAACATACGAATGGCAACTGGAAGCTCAACCCAATCAAAAAGAAAAAAAGAAAAAAAAAAACATTTGAAGCGACAGACAGCAGGGAAAAAAAAGGTCGTTCCAATATTAAATGTTCGCACGTACGTGCGAACCACGCAACCCTCCACGCGACGAACACAGCAAACGAAATCATCACCGACGACCATGCATCCGTCCGCTCTACAGAGCTACTTCGCTGACGACGACCACGGGCCACGGGCCACGTCAAAATATGAACCCTCCTACTGATCGCACCGACCCACTTCCGCAATCCCGACACCCCCAACACACACACACCCTACACACACACGCACCAAACCCCCACCACGCGTCTAAGTGCTCCTACATCAAAGCCAGCCGGTCTCGAAGAGCGTCACGCAACAAGTCCCCGTCGACGTTCGTGCAACGTTGCCGCCCGCCCGCGCCGTTCCCCACAATGCCCAAGTCCACTCTACGGCGCACACCATTCTCATCCACCTCCCACAACAGGTTTTCATCGAAGTCGATCCCGGCGTCTAGGAGGATGTTGTGCAGAGTGCACACTGCCACGAATTGTTGCGGCAAGGTATCCAGGTTCGTCTTGTGGGTGCGCAAGAAAAGACGCCACATGCACTTTAGCCACCCGAAAGCTCTCTCCACACACCCCCGCGCCACCTTTTGCCGCGTGTCAAACCACTCCTCCTCAGGACCTTGGTCGATTCCTCCGTACGACTGCACGATCCAGGGGCAGACAACAGGATAACCGTTGTCGCCTAGCAGGTAACCTCGCGTGACAACTCCATGCAGCAGACTCACCGGAGGTGCGTCGAACAGCTCGCCAGCTTGTGCACGCCTCCACAGCTGGGAATTGTGCAGAACACGGACGTCGTGCACGCTTCCTGGGTATCCGATGTGGACATCCATTATCCGCAGATCCAAATCCACTACCACCTGCGCCTGCACAGAAAACTTATGTTTGCGGTCGTAGTAGTTGGCAGATGGTGCGTCGGCGGGCTTGTCAATGAAGATGTGTGCGCAGTCGATTGCGCCGAAGCAGTTGGGGAAAACCTTGTCACGGAAAGCGCGCAGAATCTGCGCGCGTCTACGACCCACTGGCCACTTTATCGCGTCTGGGTACGCCTGCAGCAGTGCCGAAGTGACGTCGCGGACGGCCTGCAGTCCAGTTGCTCTCCCGATGCCGAAGGCAGAAGTGCCGCTCTCGTACATCTCTCCTGACGCCCACCTGTACAGCGAGAACGCGATGACCTGCTCCACCGGCAATGGCATCCTATAGTGCGTCACCTTCTTCTCCACGTATGTGGCGCACGTGGCCACGATCTGCCTGAACATGGCCATCAACATGTGCAACTTCTGGCGGTAGTACTCGTCCGTCCCGTCGTCACACAGGCGGAGGTCCTCCCATGTTCCGCCAGTCCGTCGTTTAATCCACCAGTGTGGGGTCTCCTGCGGGAAAACGCCAGAAGACAGCGTGACGCACAACTGGATGACTGCCTGACACGTGGCCACGCAATCTGGCGCTTCGCCAACGCGCTGCAACAGCGCTCGTCGTTTGCGGAGCTCCGCCAGCGCGTCGCGTGACGAGGACGGGTCACCGCGCATCGTGTTCACGACGACGGCAGCCACGGCCATCGCCACCGCCTCGATTTCGTCATCCCGAAGACCCTGCCCGCGCCCGCGAACGTCCATATCCAAGAACCCCGTGCTCTCCATATCTAGTCGCCTGCCACAACCGCCAAACAAACGCCCGGTGCTGAAAACCGCCACTTTGACGACGCACGCTGGTGCCGAAGATGAGGCCGCTCGTGTACGACGGCACAGGAGATGACGCACGGCACAGCCGAAGACGCGCCCGCTGCTCCACGCTTCCACAGGGCAGCGCGCACGACGTAGGTGAAGAAGCGCCCACCACGAAGATGCGCCCGTTGGTCACAAGTTGCGCGGAATCGAAAGACGGATACCCACAGCGTGCACTTCGCCACCGCCGTCTTTTTGACGTCACACGCGTCACCTGGCCTTCCTCCGCCGCGCTACCCTGCGTCCGCGAAAATTCAAATTTGAATTTTTGAAGTTCAGAGGGACCGCGCTTTTCACCCACCCCTTTTTCCTCCGCCCAAGGGCCTCCGCACTGTGTACCACGGACAACATCCAGGAAGGGACGGACATCGGCGGCGCGGCTGCATATAGGCATATGAAAACCGGCCGCGGGAGACCTTTTAGGACGATTCCTAAAAGATGATTTTGAGGACTGCGTGTAACGACGATGCACGGAATCCTAAAAAACCTTTAGGACTCGTCCTAAAAGTTTTAGGATTCTTTTAGGAGTGTCTAACGAGCCCCTTAGTGTTAAATTAGTGCATTATGATACTGCCTCGTCATTCATAGTTTTTCAACCTCTTCTTAATTCTCTTGAATTTCTTCAATAGTTCTCAATAGTTCTCAGAGTGATTCTCAGCCCAAGCCGGGTAATGGCCCCGGTATCTCAAATGACTTGTGTAACTCTATATGGGACGCTGGGCCCGGTTCCCAGCACGTGCTGCTCCCCACGAATAGACTGGAGCATTTGTCCCAAAAAAAAAAAAAAAAAAAAAAAAAAGCATACTGCCTTCACTCTTGAAGCATCTGGAGAGAGTCAAAAGTGACAACAACAAAAGAATCCTTGTTCAATTTCGCCGGGTTGCAGTTGACTGTTGGCTGTTGCGAGCGAAGTATTTCAAATGGCCCACTGAGGGGAGGGTTGCAGTTGGCTGTTGCAGTTACTGTACTGGTTTTTCCAATCTGTGCACCTGCAGCTCGTAAGTTAAAACTTGCTGATAGGGAAGCTGCACTGGATAGTAGTGTACAGGGTTGCTTGGTTGGACGGGCATGGCGCAGAGGGAGAGGGAGGGAGTGTGAGCACTTGCCCCATCTGATGATGCTGAAACAGCAATTTCGTCAAAACGGACTTGTTTTTTTTTAAAGAAATCTTTAGGTGGAAATTTCAAGCTCACGAGGGCCCGGCATGCTTAAAACGCCGGACCCCTTGGATGCATTTGGACTTAGCTGGAGTCTAGGGGGTATGAGGTTCTGAAAAAGGCAGTACCCTCCGTGGATGTATCTGGACTTAGCTTGCATCCAGGGGGTACGGCGTTTTCAGAACGCCTTACCCTCAGGAGCTTAAAATATCAACCTAAATTGGGCCAATTTATGAGTTTTCAATTTCGTTCGAAAAAATAAAATATGTCGGACTCCCTTTTGACCAATGTTTTAATGTTGTTGCTGTTGTTGCTGCAAACAGAGCATTATCTGTTGATGTTTCTATTTAGAAACAAGTAGTACGGAATTGTCACACTTTGAGTTTCGAAAGGGCAAAAAAAAACATGTGTGGGCAACAAAACCTCATGCGGAGTTTGAAAAGGGCTATATCTGTAAAAACGGCCGGCAGGTGGCCTGCGTGCGATTTTGTTGCTCTTTCCAAAATCGGCACGCGAGCTTGTTGCCCTTTCCAAACTCGGCACGCGGATGAAAATGCTTGTGTTGCTCTTTTGAAGTCGGCACGTGAGTTTGTTGCCCGCGTGTGATTTTGTTGCCCTTTTCGAACTCCTTTGTGCCACAACAGAGCTTACCTCTTCTGTGTATACGGGATTTATGCTTGCTGACAGTTGCTGTTGCAATATTTCCACCTAAATGGGGCCAATTTACGAGGCATTCGGATTTGTGCTTGCTGTTGCAATATTTTCCTGATCTGCTCTATATAGTAAGAGACTTTCGGACCGTTTCAGTTGCCTTCGGAACACGGCACATAATGGTCCCAATGGTCCACAGCACATAATGGTCCCAATGGTCCACAGCACATGTCATAATGGTCCCAATGGTCCACAGCACATTGGTCC